CAATGGGAACCCATATAATGGAAGTCAATGGGAACCAAAACTGGTTGGTTACCAACATTCTTCAAAATATTTTTTTGTGTGTGTGCATGTTCTTCAGAAGAAAGCAATGCATACAGGTTTGGAATAACATGAGGGTGAGTGAACGATGACAGAATTTTCATTTTTGGGTGGCCTAAGACCGATCGAAAAAATAACGAACATAATTTTTATATATAACGAAACTCCCACTAGTTACTGCATGTATGAGCGAATACACAGGCTTAAAACTCTGTACTTATGTGAGGACGGAGTCAAAAGAGAGGAACTGATTTCATCCCTCTTGACCCGGCGACCCCGTTTGCCAGAGCCACCTCCGAGGGTGGCGTGGTGGTGTGTCACGGTGGTCCCCGCCACCGACTTTGATGTTTGGGGTGGAGTAGGTGGGTAAATGGCGAGAACGCAGTGTCCTCACATAAAACGGAGACAGTTGCCGGCACTTGGCATTTCCAGTGCTGACAGGCTGGCTTGTTTGTTCACTCTAACGAGCACTCGGACTCCATTAATGAGCGGACTGAATCCATTATCATCATCATTTCAAAAGAGAGCCCTGCACTAAACAGCTCCCCGCATTAGCTGCTGTTGCCCTTGTTGTTTCATTTGATCAGCGGTGGCAGCAGGGACTCGCCCCTCTCTAGCCTTCCCCACAAACACACACATACATACACTCTCCTTTTATTGCCTCCTTGCAATGGCTGTGAATTTGTGGGGAGAAAATTAAGCACAGAGAGCAAGTTACAGATGCTACGACCATGACAGGAGTTAAAATGCGAGCTAACGGCGGAAACGACTTTGGAAGTAGAGATGTGAAAAACGAAATTTTTTAACTATGGCTAGTCAATGGGTTGCATGAAGCAGTAGTCTACTGGTCAGTCTTAAGAAAGTACTGCATAATTTACTGCATGATTTAAAGTCCATTATGCAAATCTGACATGTTTTTGGAACATTCACATCACACAAAATGGTGCTTTGATTAATTTACAGCTGCAACTTGAGCATGAAAAACCCCTCTCTGAGAAGTTGTTTCTCAATACATTCGTTAGTAATTATTTAGAAAATATAACAACAACTATTATTATTATTATTGCTATAATTTAGCAATGTTTTAGCTAAAATAATAATAATAATAATAATATATCTTGTAACAATAAATAAAATGATAACAACAACAGTAATACTAATAGTATTATTATAATAAATTGTTGTTGTTATCATTTTTTTTTAATCATTTTTTATTGTTATCAATAAAGTTTTAGGTAAAAATATTAAGGGCTGAAATTGCTTTAAATAATAATAATAATAAATGATATCTATTATTGTTTTTGTTACATTTAGTAATAATATTTTAGGTAAAAATATTAAGGGCTGAAATTGCTTTAAATAATAATAATAATAAATGATATCTATTATTGTTTTTGTTACATTTAGTAATAATATTTTAGGTAAAAATATTAAGGGCTGAAATTGCTTTAAATAATAATAATAATAATAATAATAAATTATATCTCTTGTAACATTTAAAAATATAATAACTTTATTATTATGATTATTATCATTGTTCTATTTAGCAATAACGTTTTAGCTAAAAATATTAAGGGCCAACAACAACAACAACAACAACAATAATAATAATAATAATAATAATAATAAATTATATATTAAAAAATATAATATTATCTATATATTATTTTTACTTAGTTTTCGTTACAACAAAATTAAGGGATGAAATATAATTTTAACAAAAATTTAATAATAATAATGTAAAATTAAAAAATATAATGACTATGTATTAACATTCTTGTTGTTATATTTAGCAATAATGTTTTACTTTAAAATAGAGCACTGCTTCTAAACACAAAGGGAGTAAAAACAGCTAAACTCACTTGTTGACCTCACTAATCGACCATCCTGACCCATCCCTATTAGAAAGAGAAAAGAGCTGGGTGAAAAAAGACAGCGAGCAGGAGAAGCCCATCTTTTGTAAATCATAAACAATCTAAGCTGGTAGGCAGTATATGAAAGTGGGCGACGATAACATTTCCATCTCTTTGCCACCTTTCTAAGGGACATCAAAGACCCAATTAAGGCCCTCTGAGCAAATGGCGTATGTGATAGCAGCTCTGGAGATTTGTCACAGAGTCTGTGTGTGGCTGTTGACGCCCTAACTCACTGACAGCCTCCTTTACAATCCCAGCCCAGCTCCATGTGCCCCTCTCTTTCTCTATCTGTTAAAGGATTTTAATTAGGCCTTGCCTGCTCAGGCTCACACAGCCCTTTTGTATGTGCTGAATGGTACAAGGACTGTGATTTGGAAGCCCTTCACAGGCAGTCACTGATGTGAGAGAGAGAGAGAATGAGAGAGCGATTGAGAGGGAGAGAGAGAGAGAAAGAGAAAGGGCTCTTTCATTTTGATATGTGCTACTTCACTACACCAAGCCCTTTCCCCCCCACCCTATTGTACGAACTCCCCTTATGAAGAACTGGAAAATATTCAAATGTTAACGTGCCCGTGTTGGCTTTGATATTTAAGACAAAAGGGTACAGAGTGAGACTTACAGTGACACTTCACAAACTGGAAACGGGACATTTCATCTGACGCGTCATGATCTACCAATACGCTTTCAGAGCGTGTGTTTGAGCGGCTGATGTCTTTAGTGTGTATGTGCATGTCAGAATCTCTTCCAAAAACAGCTACTTTATTGAGATTCTTTTCTATAATAACACATTTGACACAGAACATTATAAATGTGCAAACCAATATGCTTAATAATGTGTCTATGCATGTCAGATTCTGCTTCAAATAAAATCGTAAATACAATCTCCTTAACGTCTCAGTTGTTTTTCCTACATTTAAAAACATTTGGTGTAGAAACAATTTTCAGAAATTGCTAGCAAATTTCACAATTATAAAGAAATGGCAAGTAACACATTAAATAAAATGTGAAATTTTGAAGTTAAAAACATTGCATTTGCTTGTGAAACTCCAATTTTGTTTTATTGATAACTTTGAAATATCCTTTTTTAAAAGTGTATTCAGCAATGAGATTATCTGGAGATCAACTTAAGAGTCCCTCCTGTCACTTTTTTTTATTGAGAACAGAAATCCCAGTTATTTTATAATTAATGACATATTTAAATATTTATTTTTCTGAGCTATACTATCCAAATACATTTTTCAGCTATTAATTTTACTGTGTGTCAATAATTATGTCAAGTTTTATTTCCCTTGAGATACAGTAAAAAAAAAGCTCTCTTAAAAGCCCGAGCTTAAAAATAAACCAGGTCAACTAAGTCAATAATTTCCTTAATCGATTTAGTTGAATTGAACTTTCAGTTAATTTCCCTCTCTCTCTTTCTCTATATATACAGTATACAGCCATTTTTATCAAACATTTGCCACAAGAACCCTATACTTTGCATGGGATTGCATACTAAACATCTATTATAACATTAACAGGATAAAAACAATCTGATACATACATACACATTATAGCCTAGTGTGTGTTTCCTGTAGCACAAGCAGCAAGTGCATCTATACAGAGTGCTTGATATCGCCAAGTCTCAGATCTTACATGCCGATGGCACGATGCCAATCGCCATCCTCCCCTTTGTATCTTTCCAGTGCAGGGGCCTCCGTTTACGAAGTGTGCCCAAAGCAGGCAGGCAGTTATGCATCGTAACCCTCCCCAGCCAAGACGCAGTGTGCTGGGACAGTGTCCCCCACTCTCACTCCCTGACATTCCTCTCTGACAGCCCTTTACATCTGCCTGCGCCGCACTCCGTCGGCAGACAAAGAAATTAATACCCCAAGTGACTGTGTTTTAATTAAGCAATTTCATGCAAATTACACATTTTAGATTGTCAAATAATATACTGCGCAAAATGGAAGGCTGGCTGATCTGATATGCATGGAGCGTTTTTCTTCCAGGGCACTGTGCATACATGGAAAATGAACAAAAATGCTAATTTCTCATCTATTATGCAAACAGTATGATACTTCCATAGATTTGCGCGCCTTTGCCTCCATTGCCTTTGTATTGTGTATTTAAGGTGCTCGAGTGTTTAAAAGTCTTGTTTTTGTACCCTTTTGAACACTGTTTACTTCGGTTTTCGGTTTGCGCCACGAATAAAAATCGTGCTGGCAAGAGTTCAAGTTTATTTTTGTTTGTTTGTATTAGTCTATTTAAATTACATTGAACACAAATTAGCATAATGAATCACATGAATGCATAATGAACAAATTAAACCTAAATAAATAAATAGCCATAATTTTAATGCCAATTATACTGGGAAAAAATAATGTCCTTTCCTGCCTTACACTGTTACGAGATCAGCCAATATTACTAACAATATGTACAAATTATTCAAATGTGAACAAAAGCCTTTTTTTTTCTCTCCCCAAGTTGATTTGATTTAATATTAGAGTAGAACTGCAGAAAAAAAAACCTCTTGAAACCTCAGGCACAAAAGTCGGTGAGCACAGGTAGCACAATGAGGCCCTCATTAACAAAGGCAAGGGAGGATTCTTGCTGTTTCTTTGTGATTCAAATACATTTAATCAAAGGTTTGTTTCAATATTCTGGTACTTAATAGTGTACATTACCGCATACAATACGTCTGAATGAATTGAAGTCTTTCTAGTAGGCTTTTTAATGGGAACAAATAGCAGGATAGGAGTAGGGAACCGAAGCGGTAATGGCAGGGTACGACATGGCTGTTGACGCGGTTTCTTCATCTTCAGCGTTGAGTTGTTCTTTAAATGGACCCTCATACCATAATCGTTCCCCGTGCACATTCAAATCAGGAAACAATAAAGAAATGGGGCTCCACACCAGGTCTAAAAGATCCTTTCCCAATTACGAAGCTTTGAAATCAGACTGATGAGCCCCTCCTGTGTTTGTGTGCTAGTGTGTGTGTGCGTGCAAGTGTGTATGAAGGTTTTGAAGCGATCCACTCACCTTAATCAAGTCAACAAGGGGGTGGAGTTGGGTGCCTGGATGGTGCTCGTGTGTGATTGAATTTTGATGTGCGTCATTGAGGCGTGCTTTCCAAGAACCGAACTGGCGGGACTTTTCCAAATGCACTTCATGGGAAGGTCACATGCATCTGCAGGGTCCAGTACACTGAGGTCAGAGCTGTTTGAGGTGAAATAATGTTTGAGTCAGGTGAGGAACTAATGGTCAACTTGAGCAAAAGTGGAGATCCAAGTTGGAAACCACAATCCAGAACAGCAGAGAGCAAAGGCAAAACTATGCTAAAAGCCAATAATAAAACACAGCTAACCATCAGACCATTCCATATTTACTTCTGCTGTTGTTTATGCATGTAAAAAGTGGTAAATTTTGCATGTACTTTAACATTTTGTTGGGTTTTTGTAAACAGCACTTTACAAAAAGGTTTAATTTGCTAACATTAGTTAACTACATTAGTTAACATGAACTTACAATGAACAACACTAAGGCATTTATTAATCTTAGTTAATTTCAACATTTACTAATACATTATTAAAATCAAAAGTTGTATTTGTTAACATTAGTTAATGCACAGTAAACATGAACAAACAATGAACAATTGTATTTTTGTTAACTAACATGAACAAAGATTAATATATGCTTTAAAAAATAACATATCACCCATTGTTACCTAATGAATTAACTAATATTAATAAACGAGACCTTATTGTTAAGTGTTACCTGACTGATTAATAGTTACATCATTCTCAAATTTAAAACAACTTCATACATTTCTATTTCTAGGCGTCAAATGCACATTTATTTTAACTGATAAAAACATGCTCTGCAAAATAACATTTCCATTCCAATATACTTCAGGTTCTGTATATTAATTCATTCTATTAATTCTTGAAATTGAAAAATAAAGTTTCAAGTGTCTTTTTTTCAAAACATACCAAATGTACACATATTCCAGAGGGTTTAAGAAAGACATTTTGGTGGTTTGGGCCTAAAAGTGGGGTGTACTTCTTTATTGGTGTTGATGTTCTTCAAGAAAAAAAAAGGTTCCTGAAAGAACTGTTCACTGTTACTATCATGTTATCCACCTTATTTTACAATGCGGAAGCCGTTTTCTGTGGATGTGCGAGACTTCCAGTTCATTAGCCGCTGTAGGGAAATTTGCAAATGGCCACGCCAACTCTTACAGGGGAAAAAAGTGGATATGTTAAAAAAATTTGGATATCATCTACCTTTAAAACACATCCAAAGAAGCAAATTAAACTGCTTCAAGACGAGCACTTCCACAAGGCCTCTTGTTTCGCTACCCTTCCCCTCTTTCATTTCCATCTTAACGTTTCCCTCTCTGATCTAAACAAGGAATGTGATCAAAATTTGAGGTCCATTCTGTGTCTAACTTGACATGGGCTGTTGAGTGAACCGGTGGCGTCAGGCGGCCCATGGGAGTGCCTGCCGTCCTGCGGTCAGCCCTGCAGATATAAACACCACTCCAATGACAGAGCGGGGAATCATGAGCTGGCAGACAGGCGTTCTCCCTCTGTTCACTGTAACAGGATATTAAACAGTAATTATATCCTGAGGCAATCTGATTAGCACAGAGAAAAAGCCTTATTGATCCCAGGTGCGGATTAGCAGCCGAGGATAAATATTTATCCTGCATCTCTCTATGATGGTATAGAGCCACTCAAAACAGGCTTGTCAAACAGAGAGAGTTTATGCCAGTATCAAGATGAACCCAGTCTGTATGAGATGATGAGTAAACGAGTTAGAAATGGAAAGCTGCAGAGAAACGAAAAACGGGATAAATGACGTATGAGGCTGTGCATTACATCACTTACAAAATTAACTCTAAGTATAAATATAGACCGGTTTAACTCACTGCAGACCTGGCACAGAACTGGAGAAGTTCACTTCAAGACTGTACCACAAAACAGTGACGGTATCTGATATTGATGGTACCAAGGTACTTTTATAGATACCAGGTACTAAATAACTAAAATTCATTTACCAGGGTATTTATAAAGTACACTTGCAGACAAGTAGCAAAAACATGGTACAAATGTTTTATTGATATATACAGTGGGTATAGAAAAGAATGACTCAGTGATTTTGTTTTTTTTCTTTCATTTTTTTCTGACATGTTGGTGTTATATCTTTCACTTGGATGTTATAAGTTGCACTGAGTAAAGACAGCAGGATAAAACAAAAACTGTGTCCGTCTTCATTTCAGGCAAACAAAATGTGATCATATAAAGGGGGTGATGCTTTTCTATACCCACTGTAGCGTGGAAGTACCATGATGTATATAACAAAGCCCCTTCTGATACCACCAATGTACCATGCTATTACCACAGTACTTTTTCAGGTTCTCCAAAACCTTTCAACAAATAATATGGTAATCCCATACTTTACCATGGTTCATGTCCAAAACTATGAATTACCATAGTACTCAAAGTATTTCAAAGAATACTATGGTAATACCATGATACATATCTATAAAACATGGATTAACCATAGTACTCAAAGTATTTCAAAGAATACTATGGTAATGCCATGGCACATGTCCCAAAATTATGGATTAACCATCATATTCTGCAGTTTTTTTTAAAGAATACTATGGTAATACCATGGTACATGTCCAAAAATATTACCATAGTACTCTGAAGTATTTCAAAGAACACTATGGTAGTACCTTGGTCCAATAAACATGGATACTTCGTAGTACTACGTAGTAATAATTTGTAGTACTACGAAGTATTACAAAGAATACTATGGTAATACCATGGTATATCTCCAAAAAGCCATGGTATTATAATTATACATTTCCAAACATTCATGATATATGATGGTTTCAAATCCAAAACAAAACATTGTGATACAGTTACACTCCAATTTAATAGAATACCATGGTAATCTTATGGTACATGTCTGAAATTCCTGCTATTATCATTGTACCCTGTTAAAGTACATGTATAGCTGTGGTGCTCCAAAATATATCATAGAATACCATAGTAAAACCATGGTATTTTTCTCATGTTTCAAAGTCTTTCACAAAGTTCGCGCTATTGTTATGACCGCTGCTCAAGACGTGATTTGCTAGAAACTGTTCCCTGGGAATGACGAGTCTCTCTTGCTGAGATGACGGGGGGCACAAACATCCTTTGCGGTGTGCTGCTCATTAAATCTGCCTCTGGGTAATCCAATTGATCTGCAATTCGTTTTAAGTAGCATTAAATCAATGCGCACAGACATGAAAAGCCAGGCTCCTCGTTGCCTTCAGTGGAGCTACCTGCAACACTTTGTAATATTGATAATACGCCACTCTCTCCATTTAAGCTTCCTTTTTTTCTCAAGCAAATGATAGCTGTTTGTAACCGGGCCTGATCAGCGGGGTAAGAAAAGGGAGTTGAATGCCATGGGGAATTAATTTAAACTCTTTCCATTTGAGCTTCCTTTTTTTCTCATGCAAATGATAGCTGTTTGTAACCAGGCCTGATCAGCGGGGTAAGAAAAGGGAGTTGAATGCCATGGGGAATTAATTTAACTCTAGAACAATGCCAGGAAACGCGACGCTTTTCTCTAAGACTGCCTGTGTGCAGAGATAGTGTTTATCTTGAGTGTAATCCCAGCTTCTCTGCGTCTTTAGTGGAGACTGTGGGCCTAAAGCAAGACAGACGCTGTAAATAAGGATTTCCACCTGGCGTTGTACACACCACACATGCTAAGTGAAGGACTTTACTGTCTAAACACTAGGGGAGAGGGATGAGATGTGTCAGTGCAGTACAATAACTGTTATTCTGAATGAGAATTATCTGATTTTACACTGAAAATATCTAAAAATACTTGAAAACTTGAGAAGCAACACTGTTTATGATGCATGTTTAATAAAAAGTTTAATTTGTCTTTTTTGACTTGTTTTAATGTCAAAGCAAGGGGGGAAAATCAGCCAGTTCGATAAAACAAAGTACGCTTATATTTGAAATATAATCTATGAAAACAAGTCTTAGGCCTGGTTTCACAGTCAAGGCTTAGACTAAGCCAGGTTTAGGCCATAGTTCAATTAGGACCTTAGAAAAAAAAAAGTTACTGGTGTGCATATTGAGACAAAACAATGGCACTGATATATTTTAAGATATGTCAGTGCAAGTTTCTTTCAGCTAAAACAGCTTTTTAGTCTGGGACTAGACTTAAGCCTTGTCTGTGAAACCGGGGGCAAATATGTTATCCAATGTTGCTTAATTCTCAAGTACATTCATCCTGTTTTTAGATTTATTTATTTATTAACTGGAAAACAAGTAAAAGAAATTAAAAAGTCATTAATAAATAATTGTTTGATAAACTAAGCATCCTTTTCAAAATATGACAAGTGTGTCAGATGCTTTTGGGGTAAGCTGTTCCACTCAAATGCTATCACAGATACTATTAATATTACTAACACAATTTCAAAATGTTGACATTTGTTGCACTCAGGGTTATTACAGGTAGCTAAAACTAAAACCATAAAAAATGACTAAAACTTTAACTAAAAGCAAAAAAAAAACAGAAAATGTAAAAATAAAAAAGAATTCAAACTATTAATAAAAACTATAACACTAGTTGCATTAATGTACATTGAAAAACATTTATAATATTAAATATCCTGACTTATTTATAAAAACATGAAAATCACTCTGCAAAACAAGACTTTAAAATGGCACTGTTCATTAATAAATTGTTTTTGTGTTCATATTTAGTTCATAACTAGACCGTTTTTTCCCCCCATATCTCTGTTGCTAAGTTCTTCTTATATCAGTTTAGCAGATGTCTTGAAATATAATTAGGCATATTAGTGTCCTCTTAGTGAACATCTTAAGTAAAAAGTGGCACAGCTTACCCCGCACCTCACTGATAAATCACAATATCAGAATAAACGTTGACCGGGGTGAAAGCATTTCCATATTAATAGTATATAGTAGAGAGGTGAAGGATTAAACAAACTAAGTAATTCCACAATTAAAGCACTGCATCACATCAGGCATTATTACAATTCCTGCTATTGACGAATCAAACTAAATAAAATTAGAAATGGATTCCAAAAGCAAGCTCCCGGTTTGATGTGCAGCCCTTCATCTGAATATTACAGCGTAATTAGGTCAGGCTGTTGAATTTTTAATGCTCTCTGAAAT